GAATTGTGTAACCATATATTGCATGGGGGTACCTGAATCTGAGGTCGGTAAATGAACTGATCTACAAGCGTGGTTATGACAAAATCAATAAGAAACGATTTGCTTTGACAGATAACTCTGCTTGGTCTCTTGGTAAATCTGACATCATCTGCATGGAGGATCTGATTCATGAAATCTGTACTGTTGGAAAACACTTCAAAGAAGCAAATAACTTCCTGTGGCCCTTCAAATTATCTTCTCCATGAGGTGGAATGAAGAAAAAGACCACCTATTTTGTAGAAGGTGGAGATACTGGCAACAAGGAAAACCAGATCAACAGATTTATTAGAAGAATGAACTAAGGTATCACTATGATTATTTTTGTTATCTGGTCAGTAAATAAACAGTGGCTGTTTTCAGACTGCAATATACTGTTGTATTAGTAACTTTTTTGTTAGCTTGTCTCTACCTTCCCTTAACTATTGTGGCACATCTTGGTGCTTGGTAAAATTAAGCCAAAACTTCTGTCAGACTAGGGTCCATTTTTTTATTTAGCAAAAATCACTTAGGGACTGTTGAAAGGTTTTTCCTACACCAGAAAGATCTAATGAAGAAAACTTATCCCAAGGCATTCATGCATGATTTTTAGGTAAGGTAATAAAATAAAGGTCAGTTCACACAAAAAAAGGGAAAAGTTACTTACATTACTGATGTTGAGCATTAGGATTATTGTAGTCAGCAGCCATGGGGTATACTGGATTTTGGGTCTGTGAAGTAAGGAACAAGCAGACTATATTGCAAACAATCACACAGGGAGGGGAAGATTTTACTAGGCCAAAGATGACAAAAAAGTTCAACTAGCTTTAAAACAATTTATATCGGGCCTAAAAGTGGATGCTGAAGCAGCAGCTAAATGAAACAAATTTATGACACCATATGAAAGAAGTGGATACATTTTCTATGTCTGTAACTTTACCTTTATAGACTGTAATATAGATGAAATAATATAATAAAGTCTTCAACAAGTTCATGGAAAATGCTTATTATGACAAAAGTATGCATGGATTCAAAATTGTTTTGCACTAAAATAAACTCATATCTTTTTTTTTTGAGAGGCTTTTGCTATAGGACACATATGCTCACCAAAAAGACAGAGAGAGACAGAGAGATAGAAAGCGAGAAATCATCCCCCAGGGGGATGGCCATGCTGCAATCCCTTCTCCTCCATTCTCCTCTCGGGACCTTGGGCACACATGCACATGCGTCCGACGTGAGTTTAAGTCACTGGGTCTGGGACTCAAACCACAGTTGGCTACATGGGAGTTCAGCGACATAGCCATTACACTAACTGCTGGTCCCAAGAAACTCATATTTTAATACCATTTTCCATGAACTTTAAGTTCCCTCATATGTAGCCTTTTGAATTTGTGTTCTTTTACTTACCATAATGTAGTAAAGATTCATGCATATCATTGTATCGGTCAGTAATTTATTAAGTTATATCACCAAGCAGAACTCCATTGAATGGCTATATCACAGTTTGTTCATCAATTCCTCAATTGAAAGATGTCTGTTTCTTTACAAGTTTTGGCGGTTAAAAAAAAAAGCAAGTATAAAAGTTTTAGTTTTAACTTTTTTTTTTTTTGAGAGGTTTTTGCTATAGGGCAAATGAGCTCCAGGAGATGAGAAAATATTTTGATGATTTGAAAGAAGAAATAGACATCTTAAAAAAGAACCTGATGGAACTCCTAAGGTTGAAGAATGTGATACAGAAAATCAAAACCTCCCTTGAAAGTATTAAAAGAAGATTAGAAAAGGCAGAAAATTGAATCTCAAATGTAGAAGACAAAACATCTGACCTAGAAAAAAGTATCAAGAGGATTGAGAAAACAACCAAGAAAAATGAGGATAATATATAAGGAATACTGGATACCATCAAGCCCCCCAACATCTGGATAACTGGAATACAAGAAGAGGAAGAAAATAATAAGGGCATTGATAATTTAGTCCATGAAATCCTGGAAGAAAACTTTCCAAACCTAGAAAGGCATTCAAATGTCCCAAGAAATACATAGGACCCCGAGTAGAATCAACCCAAGAAGATCCTCTCCAAGGCACATTATAGCCAAATTGGCAAAAACAACAAAGACAAGATACTAAAGT